TTTTTTTTTTGTATAGGGTGGTAGTGGCCGACGTGCGCAGGCGGCGCGAGCGCATTGTTTTTCAGCGCGCGCCCCCGCCTGGCCCCGGCGTGGTCGCGTGCAAACTCGGGCGCGCGGCCTCGGTCGAGGCGGTGATGGCCGCCGTCGAGGGGGACACATAGGAAAGGACTGAATCTAGGAAGCATGAAATTTCGGTGGATGCAGCAGTCGATTGGAAGAAAGTGAAAAGTGAGACGTTGCGGGATGGCTCGAAGAATGACACTTCGGGAAGACAGACGTCGTGGGATTTTGCCACCAAGCGATTTAGATGGCAGGGTAGAGATAAGTATGTCGGCAAGGAATGGAGTAAGCAACCCAATAATGGACTGAGTGGGAGCAGAGTTGGTGGAAGACACGGTGTATCTAGTAGTGGAGTTGGAATGGCGTGCAAGGGGGGAGTTTGGGGGCATGAACTTGGACCTTCCGGGACGCGTACATGTCAAGGGATCGTTGTTCCTATCGGAAGAAGGTTGGCGCACCTTTGGGATCACCTCGGCATCCGGGGGCGATCCCATGCGAATGTTTGAAGAGGCTCGGCAGATAACATTACGAGAAGGGTTTGAATTCGTGGATCCGGAGCGGGACAGTGGGACGACTGAAGTAAGAATTGTCATGGCAGGAACCTTCACCCTGCCAAATGAAACCGTACGAATGAGATTGTCGCCCTTCATGTTGGGACGGATGAGAGGTGTGGATCGCGTTGAGCAGGCGGTAGTAGTACTACCTAGGTTGAACTTTGAGGACGCCATGGTACATCGAGAGTATTATCGGGCCTTCCTGAATATGGGGCCATTTGAGGAAGAACATGGATATGAAATGCTATGCGTTTTGCGCGCGGTTGTACTAACGAGACCAAGGATTCCGCTAGTAAGTGATGAAACTATGTGGGGAGTCATTAGGCGCGAAGTAAGCTGCGGGATGACCTACATAGACGACATTTATCATTTATTCGAACTACCAGAGGAGGAGGTAGTCCAATAGAGAGGGAAAAAAAACAAGGGCGACGAAAAGAACAGGGGCTATAGCAAGGTCTGGGGCTATAGAGGAAATCTGAGGTATTTACTTTTTTTCTGAACCATGTAGGAATCCACCAACCGGTGATGGCAATGAGGCACACCCGAATGTCGAGGCGACCCTCTCACCCTCGCCCGCCCATAGAGAGCGCTAACGGATGGAAGGTGTCGCTCCCTGCAAGCTACGAGGTTCGAGGGATTGACGTGGAATGGCGAGTTGTGACCCTGGGGAGGAACCAAGCCTTCATGATGGTGGAATGCCTATGGAGCGGCATGAGATTCAATAGAGGGACAGGAGATGACTTGTACATCGATCTAAGGGTAACTAGAACCTTGTATATTCCGGAGATTGGGTGGCACATGCTAGGGACCAAGATGGCGTTGGGACATAGGTTACTACCGATCTTTCGGAGAGCGGCCTAGGCATTGGCCCGAACAAGTCAGCAGATTCGGGGAAGAAGGAATGTAGGGCTGAGGACTCGGGTCGAGTACCTCGTTTCATGATAGACTTGGTATTCGGAAGCCTCCTGAGGGCAAGAGACCTGGTGAATGCGACCTTAATCCGGGTACACCATTTCCAGCTGCAGACAACGGGAATGTTTTACGATGTGTCGGTAAAACACGGGTCGTTTTGGGGAAATAGGGCCTGAGAATTGCTAATACTCATCAACATTTTGATATTCAAGACACCACGACTGACTTATGAAGAATATGAGTCGATAATTATTAGGGAAATAGGAATGGGGGAAAACTATCTTGCGAGGGTGGCTAGACTGTTCGAAGAGTCCGTCAAACAAAACGAGCCTGAGGAATCAGTGTGAGAAAACGTCGGGGAGGTGGCCTAATGGAGGAAAAATAGCGATGTACTACAAAAACAGTAGTGAGGACAACGCTCTCCGGAAGATAGCAGTTGGAGTATTACTCTATGTAAGGATGGATCGGGACAGGACTAGGATGGTCACTATCGCCAAGGGCGCTAGAAGTGTCCAAGGGCAGGAAAGAAAAAGGTCATCCCCAAAATAGGGACCCACTCCGTCATGGACACGCCACCTTAGATCCGATGCGCGGTAGTGTCGAAACACCGACCCAAAGCGGCAGGTTTTTCAAAGGGAAGGCGGGCGATACCCCGCGAACCGAAAAAGGGGGCAGACCTGAGATGACCACTAGAAAAATGGAATACTGAAATGACAAATATATAAAGACTATGAAACCGACAGTTAGGACCTAAAAATCCTAAGACCTTTGGGCAGTCTGCCACCCCGGAATTTGTTTTTCCCTATGTGCAGGATTAAAGAAGGATGGCAACTGAGGGAGAAGTAGGGAGTCTACGAGGCAAGGGAAGTCAGAGCATAGAAAAGGATGTAGAGCAGAATGAAGGGACCGTGAGGGACCGGGAGTCGACAAATCCAGAAGGTACTAAGGAAGGAGGAAAGAAAGTTGTGACAGGAGAAAGCTCAGGGAAAACCGGTGGGAACAAACGAGGGACCCATGAAACTGGGAGAGATAGGGATAACGGTAGCCCGACACCACGAGCATCGGAAGGGGCACTATCAAAGAAAGTGAGGCTAACGGACGCTCATAAAAAATTAGTCGAGATAGAGAGGAGGGCGACAAAGTATGAAGCAAAATTGATGGAAGAGAGGATGAATGAGAGCGAGGGGGATTTCACCGGAGAAAGGGCCACGCGAGGAACAAGGGGTAAACCAGGGTCGAGGGGGAGAGGATGATACCATGCAAAGGAGAAAGGATAGGACAAGGGAGCGCAGAGAGACGCCGACTAAGAAAGGAAAGGAGAGGATGGGATCTCCGAGACTGGAGGCGGAGAAGGCCACTAACCCACCTGCTATACACATCGGGGCAAGCCGACCAGCAACCTCACCCATAGTCGCAACAGGGTGTAAAGCACTTTGGAGCTTGAGAGAGAGGGTGTTGGGATGGTTTGATCCGGAAGGTACGACAAAGGTCGGGGAAGGGTTGGAAGCCGGTAAGGAAGGACAAGGATCCGGCGCCGCTGACGAAATAGGGGGATCCGAAGGAGGGCTTAGAGAAATGGTATCTTCACTCACGCGTGCGCTAAATAAAAATCAGGAATACATGGCTGATGCCAAGAAGAAGTTAACGTTCAACGGGGCAAATATCACGAAATTCCTAATAGATTACGAGAACTTGGTAACACTGCTAAGGTGGAGTGAGGAAAAGAAAATGGACCACCTACGGCAGCATGTATCACTGAACCTAGGGAGGGACACAATGACTATCGTCGTGACCAGCAGATCCTGGAAGGAGGTCCGGGACGTAATGATGAGGAGGTACATGGCATCCGAGAAGATGGCCACAAAGTTGGAACTGGCTGTGGTACAAAGGAAATTTTTCGCAAAATATAACGATTTCCTTAGAGAATTCACCCTCATGGCATTGCGGATCCCGGGGGTGACAGACCGCATAATGAGCAAGTATTTCCTTAGACAGTTCATCAAGTTCGATCAAGATAAGATCCTATCGACTTACCAGCAGACCACAAATTTCATGAATACAAGGGACGTCGACTTCAACACTGTAACAGATATTGCCGAAAAGATGGTGGTAACCGACTCCTTAGCTCTGCTGAAGGAGGGAGAAGTCATAAACCTAACCGGTAAAACAGAGGATAAGGTGAAAAGAGGAATAAAAAGTCTGCATGAGCACGTACATGGAGTAGATAGCAAGATCGAAAGAGTGGAAAATGCATTAATGGTAATGCAAGCCCAGGTAGCCCGACCCCCCCTCCCCCACCGCAAGAAGTTGTGGTTCCGACCGGAATAGCTAACCGAGGGTTCAATACGAGAGATCCGGCCAATGACCAATGCAAATATTGTACATTGGTTGGGCACATTGTGCGAACATGTCCGAGGATCAACCATGACATCGTGCAAAAATGATGTTCTAGAACGCTACGAGGAGAAATCATAGGCCCCCGCGGAGAGAAAGTGGATTGGAACTCCTCGGGAGGGATGCGTCGTGCTATAATTGCACTTAACAATCCTGACGTCGCCACAATAGAAGCGGAGTTAGCGACATAAATCGCTTGGGAACAGGCGCGAGGGCGTAGGCCGCAGGCTAACTTTATTTTCAAAATCGATGGGCGAGATAGGGTGAACGTAACCACAAGGCAATAGTGACAGAAATAAAGGTCGCGTAGGACGCAGTTATGGAGGAGGCAGGGGATGGCCCGGGGGCGCCACAGGAAACAGAGGCACAAGAGCAAGAGAAGGTTTACGGGAAACCTAGAGAAGAGGCCCCGATAGACAAAGCGACCTCGGCCCAAAAGAAATTCCGGTATCAGATTCCTATTCTGATTATGCCCGAGATCGATGACACCCTTAGCAAATTGTTAGGGACCATGGTGTCAGTCTCATTTCAGACGATGCTGCAGGCGAGTCCTAAGCTCCTGAAAGGCCTTAGACAATTGCTGACAAGACGAAGAGTAGAGATAGATGAAGGGCCGGAACAACAAGAAGAAGAGAAGGAAGAGGAGGCACCGCGAGAAGTGGCCAACCTCCAAAGGATTCCCAGGGACCTAGAAGACCTTGAGAAAGTTTTCTCAAACATCCGTTTAAGCCTGCTAGATCACGAAGATGGTGAAGTTATGAGAGTGCCACCAGGAACAAAGCTTAGTTTTCATGCGCGACCTTTGGGTAAGTTAAAAGTGCAGATTGCAAGTCATCACACAAATGCGTTGCTAGACAGAGGGGCGAAATCATGCTCATTAAGCGAGACTTTGCGAAAATTACGGGATGCGTTGTAAACAAAGAGACAACCAGAAGCATTTGTGGGGCAGGTGGGGAAATCCCCTTGACCGGGGTTAGGGAGTCCATTTGGTTGTTCCAGCGGATGACCGTCATGAACGAAATAAACCATGACATAATCCTTGGAAAACCTTGATGTGCAAATGTGGAGATGATAGGGATGCACTTGCATGATTGGACATACATGGTAGACATAGAAGAACTGGTGACGGGGCGTGGTGAGTTGCTCTGTCTCATCGGGACAGGGGGTGACATGCCGAAGGGGAAATTAGCAACATGGTCACCATCATTCGAGGAAAGTGCCAGAAAGGGGGTCTTCGCGCGAATAAAAGGGATGGGAGAGAGGGTAGAAATCATGATCGAGGAAGCATTCAACAAGAAGGAGTGGGTCAAAATGAGACTATCGCAAAAAAAGCGGAGACAGGACGACAATGTCTTGGGCGTTATGTTGATAGAAAAGGAAACGGAGGTCTAATTAATGACCAATTTTCCTAGGTCAAAGGAGACTCGAGATTAGGAGGCAGAGATAACACTGGAAGTCTCGGACTTACTGCACCTTGTCAAAGCTATCAATACCATAAGGTAGGTGTGGATCCAGTTGCGCTCGCCAAGTTTGGGGAAGAAGTCCGAAAAGGCTATTGCCTAAATGGGAAATTGATCGGTATCCAGTCTCAAATTGCTGAAGCACCACGGACGATTCTGACTGTTCATTTTTTAGGAGAAAGATCGTAGAAGGAAGCGTTCGCAAATAGGAAAGAAGGCTAAGCCTGTCTCGATTCTGCTAGATACAACAAAGGAAGAGGTCATGGAAAGGGAGGAAAGAAGGGCAACAGAGGGGCATCGAATACTGAATGAAGTAGTAGAGACCATGAAGATAGGAGTGGAGGGATTCCTGATAGAGCAGGAAACACTCTTAATTGAGAAAGCATGTCAAGATTTTCACATAGCATTTGCCTTCAATGACCATCAGAAGGGGCGACTGAATGCAAATTTGATACCTCCAGTCAGGATCCACACAGTTGAGCACGAATGATGGAATGACAAGGTACCTGACTACGATTTCGGAGTAGCAGGAGAAGTGACAAAGCTACTTAGAGTAAAGATGGACTCCTTCGTGGCAAAAACCACGGCATCGTCATAAGCAAACATGCGGTTTGCGTTCCGGAAACCTAACAAGACGCTTATGTGGATCCAGGATCTGCAGAAATTAAATGTTGTCACCATCCGGGAGGCAGGGTCGCTGCCTCAAACAGACTTGTTGGTAGAATCCCATGTCGGGCGAAGTATTTACTCACTAGTAGATCTTTATTCCGGATACGATCAGCTCCCGCTGGATGCCCGGGATATACCCAACACGAGCATGCACACTCGAGTAGCCCAGTTACAAATGTAAGTGACTCCTATGGGCTTCACCAATATTGTGGTGGAAGCACAAAGGGGAATGCTCGCAGTTCCAGGAGACATGTTCCCTGCGAAGTGTGAACCTGACATTGCTAACAACCCGATTAAGGGCGCCCGAGAAAAGGATGAGACAAAAGTTTAACCCGGAGTGCGAAAGTTCGTATGGGATCACTTACATGACATCAAGGAACTCCTCCGTAGGTTCGTGGTGTACAATATCACTGCCAGCAATCCCAAGAGTATCCTGGCAGTTCTAGAAGTGACCATCTTACGGTTTTGTTGTGGAGCATATGGAAGGAAGCCCGATCCAACCAACACCGGCAAAATCTCTCAATGACCAACACCTCTCCGTAGCACAACAGAAATGAGGGTCTTCCTAGGGATTGTAGGATTTTGAAGAATTTTCATCAAAGGCTTCGCTAAGATAGCGGAACCCATCCGGGCCATGATTCGCGAAGAAGGTACAATGGACTGGACAGAGGAGAGAGAAGTCGCCGTCCAGGCTCTCAAAGATATATTGACGTCCGAGCAGGTCATCCTTGCTGCTCCGTGTTTTTACGATGAGGTAGGGCGTCCTTTTGTGCTTGAGACCGACGGGGACCTTTAGTTGTGGGAGGAGTTCTAATACAAAGGGGTGAAGATGAGAGAGAGCGACCAATCCAGTTTCGAGAGTGGGACGCTGAACTCAGCAGAGCGTCGCTACTCTCAATTGAAGAAGGAGGTGTTGGTCGTTCTACATTGCCTCAAGACCTTTCAAGCTTACCTCTTTGGACGAAGATTCATCCTAAGGATCGACCCGACGAATGTCGTGGGAGAACTAAAGAACTACAAGCCGATAGATCCGACAGTAGGAAGATGGGTAGGGTTCATCTGGCAGTTTGATTGCAAAATCGAGCACATTGCGGACCTTAGGAATAGGGCCGATGGCCTGAGCAGGGTTTGCATTACACCGGAAAGAGTAGAGGACGCGGAGCACGTCGATGCGTTCCTCCACTATGAGGGAGGGACTCTTGTGGTAGACAACGAGATGGTGGAGCCGGCCTGTACATCCGGGGAATTGTTGCTTTATGCATTGGAAAAAGAGTCTCCTACCGTAGTGGCAGAACTCAGGGAGGGAGCAGAGTTACAAGGACCAATTGTAAGTAAGAGAAGGACTCATGGGGTGACATTGTGGGGCTTCAGGAAGAGCTGATGGCAATGGTTGTAGAAGGGGGACAGGAAATAGTTATGAGTCTGGTTGAGTTGTGAGAACAGAAGCGGCAACAGTACCTAGTCGGTTAAGCATAGGTTAAGGAGGAGGATCGTCAAAATACAAAGGAATACTTCTATGTTCAGATGTACGATGGGCTCTTCAAGGAGATAGATCTATTGCTCGTAGAAAATAAGGAAGCGGGGGAGGTCAGCCTCAAGGCAAGAGAGGAGGTTGATAAGTATGTATTGAAGAACGGACATTCATTCAAGAAGAAGGAAGGTCTAATGCCTAGAAGGGTCGTGTGCAGACGATCTTGGTTGGCGGACGTAATTCAGGCAATGCATGATGGATTGGCAGGGGGACATCGCTCCTTGAAGGGGACGCTGGCAAAAATAGCGTCACTCTATTTCTGGCCAGGAATGGGGAGCATGGTTGCCACATACTGCCAGACCTGTTTCATCTGTCAAGACCGGAGTTCGGCTTGTGTTTTTGAGTTTTTGAGACCGACGCGGGTGCTTGGTTCAGGACATTTGGTTCACCTCGATCTCGAGGTCATGCCCGTATCTACGAAAGGGTACCGGTACATACTTGACGCTAGAGATGACCTTAGTGGGTTTGTGGAAGCGGTAACTCTCAAGAAGAAAACTGGGATATCAGTGGCCGGTTGGATTGAGGATTTTTACCTGAGATACTCATTCATCAGGAGGTTTATAGTTGATAATGGGATGGAGTTCATGAATCAGGAAGTCTTGAACACTTCTAAAAGACCCGGGGTGCCCATTAAGCTAATTGAGCTATACCACCTGGAGGCCAATACGCCGCCCGTGGAAAGGGGACATCTGACACTGAAGAACACGATCGCGAAGTTAGCGGCTGATGATATCGGGAACTGGCCTAAGTACCTCAAGCAGGTCGTTTTTGCAGAGAATGTAACTCCAAAGAGAACTACAGGATGTGTTCCAGTCGAGTTGTGGTATGAGAGAGAAATTGATTTCCCAATGGAAGCCCCAGTACCGACTTGGAATAGGCTAGATGATGACCCGCGCCTGACGACGGAACAATTAACCGAGGCTAGATATCGGCGCCTTGGAATAGGCTAGATGATGACCCGCGCCTGACGACAGAACAATTAAAGGAGGCAACAGAAAAAGTAGTGAGTTGAGTCCTAGATAGCAGAATGAAAGACAAGGCAAGGTGGGATCAACTCAAGAATATCATAAAAGAACCTCTGCAGGTGGGGGAATCGGTCCTAGTCAGAAATTCGGCACTAGAGAGCACTTGGTCAGGACAAAAGGTCAAGGGGTCATGGGCTAAGTAAGGAGCCACAACCGGGAAGATCGGCATGCGGAGCAAGAGGAAGACAAGGTGTCGGGGACCACCGACGGGACAAAATGTTGGGGACCACAGGCGGGACAAAGTGTCGGGGACCACCGGCGGGACAAAGTGTCGGGGACCACCGACCAGACTAATGCCGGGAACTAGCGCGGGACGAGTACTGACGGGGACTACTAGCGGGCCTAGTGTCGGGGACCAGCGCGGTCAATTGGCGGGGACTTGTGAAGTCCCGAGGAAAAATTATGGCGCGCCGTGAGGTGCAAATAATTAAAGCAAGGTGCACCGTCAAGATCAAGGATTTGACGGCCAAAAATATTAGCACCACTAGAATGAGCACTATTGGGAGCAAGTGGGAAGGCAAAAAAAAAAAAAAAAGGCAAAGGAACATGGAGGTAGAGGCGTGGGAGCAATCCGAAAAATCTCGGATTGGCCTCCCCTAAGAAGATGGAGTCAAAAGAGGCTCCATGGGAAAAATAGACCTCCGGGAGAAAATCAGAGCATGAGGGCCTACCGTTTGGAAGAGATAGAGTCAAACAGAGACTCTCATGGACATGGGAAGGCCGCAACTGCAGTCCGAGAAACAACGGAGTGACCCTTGAGCATGGGAAGGGCCAAAACCAAGAGGAAAAACCTAGAAAAGGGCCTTAACGGCTGGTTGACACTTGGCATGCAAATGGGAAAAAAAAAAGAATAAGGAAAAAAAAAAAAAAAAAAAAAAAAAGAAAGAAAAAGGGATGGAGGGTTTGTTTGTCATTAGGGGGTGCAAAAAAGAGGGGCGGGGGGGGCCCCTCTTTGCTCAAAGGGGGGGAAAAAAAAAAAAAAAAAAAAAAAAAAAAAAAAAAAAAGTCAAAAGCGCACTAACAGCCAAAAACGCCCATCTAGGGGATGCATTTGTGACCAGATTCATTTTGGCATATGTCGGTTACAAAGTTCCTTGATTTTCTTTTGATTTTGCAGAGAAATCAAGAAAAATCAAACCCTCATGCATCCGAGATACAATGGATTGCATGAGGTAGGCCAAACACATGTTTTTGGTGCACCGGGAGCCAAAATGGAGACCAGATGCACTTGGGACTTGACCGTTTTCTTTTCTTTTAGTTTGAGGTTTGTTGTGGGGTAGTGGGACTACGAAAATGACCCCTACTGCAGTCCGAGTTGCAACGGACTACTTGGGAAAGAGAAAATACAAACCCAAGGTGCATCCGGGGCCAATATTGAACCTGGATGCACCCAAAAATTGAACGTCTCATTTTCCTTTGGCATGGGGCACATTGTGGGGTTGTGGAACTAGGAAAATGACCATGATTGCAATCCAAGAAGTAACGGACTGCATGAGGATGCCTAGGCTAAGGGAAAATGAGCCACGACAAACCCAAAAGGCTAGAAAAAGGTAATTTCGGCATGGGGCAAATAAAGACGGCAAGCGGTAACCGTGAGATGAATCGACACACATGTGGCACTCACGGAAAAGATATTGGGACTGTCGGGGACAAGGGGAGTCCCAAACAAAAAAATGGGACGCCGTCCGGGATGTTGTCGGGGACTAAGTGGGTCAAAATAATAAGAGACGAAAAATAGGATGCGTGCCAGCGGGGCAAGAAAAAAAAAAAAAAAAAAAAAAAAAAAAGACTAGTACGGGAGAAGTGGCGGAGACCTGAGGTGTCCCAAGGAAACAACCACGAGCCGATGTGGGGAATGGTTGCGCGAGGCCAATGGCGCCACCAAGATCGAAGATCTTGATGGTGAAAAATATCGGCACCACTAGTGCAACTACTAGTGGAGCCCAAACGGGAGGACTAACGGTAAAAAGAAAAGAGAAAATGAGAGATAGAAGAGCTGCCCAGCAGTCCGAGATATTTCGGACTAGCAAGGTATGTGAAAATAGAGCTTCAAGAGGCCCAACATGAGAAACAGGCTGTCCATGGAAAATCGGAGCAAAAGGGGCTCAAATTCGGACAAACGGTGGCAAAATGGAGCCCTCTACAATTATGGGAGGGTCATTTCTGAAGTCCGGGATATAACGGCCAACAACCGGCCATGAACCTGCCCATGAATGAGGTTCCAAGGCCTAGAAAAAGAGTGCACAGCTATTTGACACTTGTCACAACAAAAATAAAAGAAAAATAAAAGAAAAAGGGGAGAAAATGGAGAGAGAATGAGACAAAACGGGAGAAAAGGGTGGAGGAGAATGCGCCGGTCCATTGGGACTGCTGCAGTAGGGACTGACAAGTCCTAATGATGACCTCATCCCTCCTGGAAGGAGGGATCTCTTGGAAGGAGGGAGGGCAGTCCGGATTGCCAAGGGCCATATCTCCACAATATCTGAATTAAAAAATGGAAAATGAGGGAAAATGCAAGGGAGAAATGACCAGTTTTCTTTTTGACCATGGATCTGAGATCAGATCTCATGGTGGAGAGAAAACAGCCATTTTTTGTGGGCCATCTCAAAACGGCTAGCTCCGGAATGAGGTGGCAACCCAAAACGGAAAGAAACAAAAGAAGGAAAAAGACAGAATTGTGCATCTGGCCCAAAAAGAGAGCAAGATGCACAAAAAAATGAAAAATTGGACTTAGGGGCTCAAATTTGAAGCAAGGGACATCATGGGGTAGCTCGGAATAGTGTTTGCCTTGGATCTCAGCCTGATCCAAGGCTGAAAATATACCGCCATATGAAAAAATTCTCCGGCCTACCCAAGGGAGGCCAAGATCAGAAAAAGTCGAGAAAAAGTCATTCCCCAAGTAGGCCGTTCCTTGGGCCTTGGACTCAAGGGGGCAACATTTTTCAAATGGCATGAGGCTGAAAAGAGGCCCAAGGGGCAGTCCAAGTTGGTTGGTACCAACCACTCGGACTGCATGAACCTGGCTAAAATGAGGCCCAGGTGCGGCCCCCGGAGAGGCCTAGCGGTGAAAATTGGCCATGGGGGTACCTCGGTTCACCATGAGGCACATGGGGAGGCCCATCGGCTGGCCGGACTGCTCGCTACAGCCCACATAAGCTGGGAGTTCAATCTGCCACACTCCCATTTGTATGAGGAGTGCCCTTGTTGCCCAAATGTGCCCATGAGAGCACCACACACACTTGGAGTGAGGAGAGGGGAACCCATGCCTGTATGAGAGCTTAGACGAGACTGGGAGTTAGGAAAAGAGCTCTAGAGGCTGGTGGTAGGGAGGTTGGCACTAGGAAGGTGATTGGCCATGACCCCCGGGGTGTGAGGAGGAGAGACAGGCTAGAGGGAGTCTCATTAGCCCTCCTAAAGGGAAGGACTCCATAGCCATAGTGGTTGGAGCTTGTGGCAACTTGGGAGGAAGTGAGAGAGGAAGGAGGGGAAGGGCTTGAAGGAGAAGGAAGCCATAGCTAAGTGAGGAAACGCTTCATCAAAGGTTGGGATATCAACTTCAAGACCAAGGAGAGGTGAGTGGAGAGAGTTTTCTTCTTCTTCCTCTTCTTCTTCTTCTTCTTCTTCTTCTTCTTCTTCTTCTTCTCCCTCCTCTTCTTCCTCTTCTTTTTCTTCTTTTTTTCTTTTTCTTTTTCTTTTTCTTCTTCCCCTTCCCCTCTTCTTCCTCCTCTTCTTTTTTTCTTCTCCTTTTCCTCTATAGATATCTCGCAAAGATTTGGACCGCGAGTAGAAGACTTTTCCACTAGTAGTAGACTCTCCATTATCCATTTTTCTAGTCTCATGTAAATTGCAACTTTCCCTTGTGTGTGTGTGAGTCCAAAAGTGAGTTTCACTCACTTTCTCTCCAGTCTCTCCTTCAATCT